AGCAGTTAAGACACTGGGCTTGTCGGCTGGCTATCTGATCGCCCCGGTTCAAGACCGGACATGGGTTTTTTTTAGATATTATAATTATTATGTTTTGAAAAGAGGGAAATTGGGGATACCCGAAGCATAAATATTAGTCTTATTTATGGTTAAATTGAAATATGGTAACTGGAATTTTGTAAAGCTTAAATACAGGATTGGGATTTATATAGTTAAATGGTTACTGATAATTTTATTGATTGATTGAATTTTACTAGAAATGTATTAATCTGAATATGGTATATGATTTGTGGGAATTAGAGAGGGATTCTTTAATGAGTTAACCTGAGTTATATATAAATGTTTTGGGGTTTTTGGATAATTTGATTACCCTATCACCACGTTGTTTCCTAAGCACCTGGTTGTAAAAATCGAAAAACTTAATAAAACTTGTATTAAAATTAAAAAAAAACTCATCAAGGAGAGAAGCAAGCTGAAACTAAGGAGAAGTTTCCTAACAGTGAGGACAATTAACCAGTGGAACTACCCGCCTCCAGAAATTATGGGCGCTCCATCACCGGAGGCTTTTAAGAAGAGGCTGGACAGCCACTTGTCAAGAATGATATAGACTCTCCTGCTCAAGCAGGGGTTGGACTAGATGACCTCCAAGGTCCCTTCCAGCTCTGGGAAGGCAGCATCCGAAGAGCTGCCTATCTAACCTAGAATTAAGCAGAAATTTCCTGACAGCGAGAGCAATTCATCAGTGGAACAGCTTGCCACCGGAAGTTGTGGGGTGCTTCATCAACCGAGGTTGTTTTTTAAGAAGAGGTTGGGCAATCATTTGAAATGAGAAAGGGTCTCCTGCTTGAGCAGGGGGCTGGACTAGAAGTCCTCTGAGGTCCCTTCCAACTCTGTTATTCCTTATTAAGCGTGAAGGAAGCTGTAGCCCCAAATACTGGGGACAGCAAATGTCTGCCATCAAAAAAGGAGCAGGAGTAAAACTCAGGAAACGGCAGGCCCGTCAGCTTGATGCTTTATTGGGCAAGATCCTCAAACAGATGCTGCCATTAAGCAACCTATTTCAGAGAAGCTGACAGGAATGCGGTCGTTGGCAAGAGCCGGCCTGTGAATTTCAGCGAAGCATTTGACAAACTTGCTCGTTCCTGCTTCTCTCGATATGGTGAAGTTCTGGGCAGCTAAAACAACCCAAATTCCCTGCGTGACCTAACTCAGACAGCCTCCACAACTGAGCAAAGGCGAGATTGCTGTGCGCCTCTTAATAGGTTTATAATGACCTGGATGAACAGTCACTGAATCAGTCAAGGCCTACCTATAACCCTAACAAATCGTAGCAAAAAAAACAACAACCCAGAGTCGCTTGCGTGATGGGCAGATATATAAATTAGATAAATATAATAATAAGAATAATAAGAATAATAAGAATAAGAATAAGAATAAGAATAATAAGAATAATAATAATAATAATAATAATAATAATAATAATAATAATAATAATAATAATAATAATAATAATAATAATAAGAAGAAGAAGAAGAAGAAGAAGAAGAAGAAGAAGAAGAAGAAGAAGAAGAAGAAGAAGAAGAAGAAGAAGAAGAAGAAGAAGAAGAAGAAGAAGAAGAAGAAGAAGAAGAAGAAGAAGAAGAAGAAGAAGAAGAAGAAGAAGAAGAAGAAGAAGAAGAAGAAGGTCAAAATTGAGAAGACAGCAACAGACAGTAAGTGCCGCCTATGCAAAGACGCTGAAGAAACAGTGGACCACCTGGTAAGCTGCTGCAAGAAGATCACACAGACTGACTACAAGCAGCGGCATGACAAAGTAGCAACAATGGTGCATTGGAAGATCAGCAAGAAATATCATTTGCCTGTAAGCAAAAACTGGTGGGATCATAAAATAGAGAAAGTCATAGAAAATGATAAAGTTAAACTGCTCTGGGACTTCAGAATTCAAACAGACAAGCACCTGCAACATCACACCCCAGACTTCACAATTGTCGATAAAAAAGACAAAAAAGTCTGGATAGTGGACGTGGCAGTGCCTGGAGACAGCAGAAGGAGATGAGAAAGAACTGGAGAAGATAACAAAATACAGAGACCTACAAATAGAAATAGAAAGACTGTGGCAAAGGCAAGCAAGGGTAGTACCAATAGTAATAGGGGCCTTGGGTGCAATCCCAAAACAACTGGAGCACCACTTGAACACCATCATCGGCATTGACAAATTCACCATTAGTCAATTGCAAAAGGCGGCCTTGCTAGGAACTGCTTCCATCCTCTGACAATATCTGTAATACCATCAAATATCCACATCTGCCTGTCCCAGGTCCTTAGGTGGACAAAAATGCCAAATCCAGTCTGAACATCTGGCTGACTGTGCGATGATCAACAATAATAATAATAAAGTTGGAAGGGACCTTGGAGGTCATCTAGTCCAACCCCCTGCTCAGGCAGGAAACCCTATACCATTTCGGAGAAATGGCTGTCCAAATCTCTTCTTAAAAACTCCCAGTGTCGGAGCATTCACCGCTTCTGGAGGCAGGTTGTTCCACTGGTTAATTGTTCTCACTGTCAGGAAGTTTCTCCTTAGTTCTAGGTTGCTTCCCTCCTTGATTAAATATAATTTAAGAAGGGTTACGAAAGCAAAGGTTAGACACAAAATCCCTTTTTCACGCCTCTGCTTCTTTTCAGTGCCAAGACATGCCAAGTTTTATAATTAACTGCAGCGTAAAAGGGAAGAAATGGGAATCTACTGTGTCTCAGGTGACCTGTTTAAATTGTTTTGAAGTGAGAGGCAGGCTAGTCATCGGGCTGGAAAAAGCCCCACCTCCTTCGCAGATGGAAGATGAGCAATCTTTTAAACGAAGGAAGGACCCACTTGTGACATTCTTTGCCTTTGAATGTTTGGCGCCTACACCTAGCCTTGTTTTGTCTGTCGATTAACCGATGACAGAGATCCATCCGGGATGGTTCAGCTCCACCCTGGGACTCATCGTTTAAGCTCATTCCTCAGTAGCCAAAATATTTATGCAAGTGGCCCATTGAGAAACCACAGGCCCTTCTCAAAACGCTGCTGTGGGATGATTGTCTGGCTGCCCCTGGGAGTCATTAATCAGAATAAAACTGGAAGGGACCTTTGAGGTCTTCTAGTCCCGGGGTCCCCAACCCCAGGTCTGTGGACCAGTACTGGGCCACGGCATGTCAGCAACCGGTCCACACAAACAAGCAAAGCCCCATTCGCGGGATGCAGGCAGCACTCAAAACCACACACCCTCCGGGTCTGCGGAAAAACCTCTCTCCACGGAACCGGTTCCTGGTGCCCAAAAGGTTGGGGACTTCTGTTCTAATCCAGCCCTCTGCTCAAGCAAGAAACCCTATCCCATTTCAGACAAATGATTGCCCAATCTCTTCTTAAAAACATTCTCCAGTGATGAAGCACCTACATCGTCTGGTGGCAAGGTGTTCCACTGGCTAATTATTCTCACTGCCAGGAAGTTTCTCCTTAGTTCCAGGTTGCTTCTCTCCTTGATTAGTTTCAATCTGTTCCTTCTTGTTCTGCCTTCAGGCACTTTGGAGAATAGCTTGACTCCCTCTTCTTTGGGGCAGCCCCTCAAATATTCAAAGACTGCTATCATGTCACCCCTCGTCCTTCTCTTTGTTAGACTAGCCATACTCAGTTCCTGCAACCGCCTGTCATATGTTTTAGTCTCCAGGCCTTTAATCATCTTAGTTGCTCTTTGCAGTTTTTCCAGAGTCTCAACATCTTTTTTGTAAAATGTGGTGACCAAAACTGGATGCAATATTCCAGCTGTGGCCTTACTAAGGGTTTATAAAGCGGTACTAATAGTTCACCTGATTTTGATTCTATGTCTCTGTTTATACAACCAAGGATTGTATTAGCTTTTTGGGCTGCTGCTGCACACGGCTGGCTCACATTTAAGCGATCATCCACTAGGACTCCAAGATTGTTTTTGAGTCAGGTTTTGCCTAATCAGTGTTCCAGTATCTCAGGGGCTGCCCCAAAGAAGAGGGAGTCAAGCTATTCTCCAAAACGCCGGAAGGCAGGACAAGAAGCAACGGGTGGAAACTGATCAAGGAGAGAAGCAACCTGGAACTAAGGAGAAACTTCCTGACAGTGAGAACAATTAACCAGTGGAACCACCTGCCTCCAGAAGCGGTGAATGCTCCAACACTGGAAGTTTTTAAGAAGAGACTGGACAGCCATTTGTCTGAAATGGTATAGGGTTTCCTGCCTGAGCAGGGGGTTGGACTGGATGACCTCCAAGGTCCCTTCCAACTTTATTATTATTATTATTATTATTATTATTATTATTATTATTATTATTATTATTATTATTATTATTATTATTATTATTAATCTGTACTTGTACCTTTGGTTTTTCCTGCCAAAGGTACAAGAATCACAGTAAACCAATTTGCCAGAAAATATAGAGCCAAGGATGCCCTTTGTTGTATTCACATGGCATAATAAATCTGGAGACAACTTTAATTCATCTTCTCATTTATCCAAGTCACAACTCCCCCCGCCCCAGCCCCAGAATATCCATCCAGGTTAATCCAATCCCACCACCATGCAAATACTGGACTTGTTGCCAGACTATAAAGTCATAAGTGGATTTTGGGGGGCCCTGATCAGTCAGGTCCAGTGGGGGCTGGATCAGTTCAAAATTCCCAGTGCTCCAACAACTGTGGGGGGGGCTGCTCTCCACAATTCTCTGCCTTCATACAACACTCTTGGCCCACAACTGACCCATTTTCTCACACAGCCATAAGCTACTCAGACTCTCTGACTTTGCCAGAGGGGGAAAAAAAAATCCTTAACCCAATTAGGATAATTCTCATTCGTACAGCTCAGCCTCACATTTGTTTTGAAGTGAAACCATCCATGAAAAGAATTTAAATCTGTTTTTACAGGGGGGGGCGCGGCTGACCTCAAACAAGGTAGCTTTTGTCAAATGTTAAATGCATATTTTGGCATCTAATCTCACCTCCTGCCGGTTCCTTGGAGGGAGACGGCAGTTCTGGATCTCTTGGTACACCTTTGGGTTGCCGGCGATCTTTTGGCAATTTGTTTTCACCAACTCCATCGTAAGATAATATTTCGCCCCTGACACTACCTGGATTTAAAAAAACAAAACAAAACAGTAATGTGACCTTAAATAAATGACAGGGGGAAACCCCAGAACCTGTTCAACTTGATTGATAGCAGTTTATGGGTTGAGAGGAACAAGAAAATAAGGAAATATTTCTGTTTCAGACAAGAACAGCAGAAATCACGTCTTTTAATCCATGATAACACAGTAATGTGACCTTAAATAAATTACAGGGGGAAAATCCAGAACATGTTCAGCTTCATTGATAGCAGTTTATGGGTTGAGAGGAACAAGAAAATAAGGAAATATTTCTGTTTCAGACAAGAACAGCAGAAATCACGTCTTTTGATGATATCATGTAGCCATGATAACAGTCCCTCCCACAGAACACCCCCCCTAAACTCCCTTCAGCCCCCCCCCCCAAATCCTTCTATCGCTTCCAGAGCAATTCCGAGTCCTTTGGCTATTCCAGAGGACCCAACAAGGCTGCCCACCCCCTCAACACTCTCCCACCCCAGACACACACCTGCAGTACAGGTAATCCCCAACTTACGACCGCAACTGACCCCAAAATTTCTGTGGCTAAGTGAGACCTTTGTTAAGGGACATTTTGTCCCATTTTACGACTTTTCTGGCCACAGTTGTTAAGTAATTCACCGCAGTTGATGCGTTGTTAAGTGAATCCGGCTTCCCCATTGACTTTGCTTATCAGAAAGGGGATTGCGTGACACGGCAACCGTCATAAATACCAGTCAGTGGCCAAGCATCTGAATTTTGATCCCGTGTCCCTGGGGGGAATGCTGCCACGGCCGTTAAGTGTGAAAATCGATCATAAATCCCTTTTTTTCCAGTGCCGGAGTAATTTTGAACGGTCACTAAATGGACTGTTGTAAGTCGAGGACCACCTGGAACTGTTCAGATATGAACCTGGCAGGCCCTTTCGGTCCACAATCCACAATCCCTCCCCAGGTAGACCCCTCCCCAAACTGCCTCTCGTCCTCCCAGTTCTCTTCCATTGTACCCACAGCCCCCCACCCATCCCCACCTTTGGCTATTGTGGGGGAGGGTTGGACTAGATGACCTACAAGGTCCCTTCCAACTCTGTTATTCTATTCTATTCTGTTCTGTTCTATATTTTACATTCTATTCTAGTCTATTCTGTTCTATATTTTACATTCTATTCTATTCTAGTCTATATTTTACATTCTATTCTATTCTACTGTTCTGTTCTATATTTTACATTCTATTCTATTCTATTCTGTTGTTCTATATTTTACATTCTATTCTATTCTATATTTTACATTCTATTCTATTCTGTTCTATTCTATATTTTACACTCTATTCTAGCCTATTCTATATTTTACATTCTATTCTATTCTATATTTTACATTCTATTCTGTTCTGTTCTATATTTTACATTCTATTCTAGTCTATTCTATATTTCACATTCTATTCTATTCTATTCTGTTGTTCTATATTTTACATTCTATTCTATTCTATTCTGTTGTTCTATATTTTACATTCTATTCTATTCTGTTGTTCTATATTTTACATTCTATTCTATATTTTACATTCTATTCTGTTGTTCTATATTTTACATTCTATTCTATATTTTACATTCTATTCTATATTTTACATTCTATTCTATTCTATTCTGTTGTTCTATATTTTACATTCTGTTCTATTCTATATTTTACATTCTATTCTATTCTGTTGTTCTATTCTGTTCTGTTGTTCTATATTTTACCTTCTATTCTATTCTATATTTTACACTCTCTTCTATATTTTACATTCTATTCTATTCCAAAAAGACCCAACAGGGCCGTTTCCCTCACCCCCCCCCACCCCCAATCGCCCCCCACCCCCAGACACACACCTGGGACTGCGCCTCCACAACGCGCAGCGCCTTGAAATAGTTGCTGTTTGTGCTGCGCGCGTTGTATTCCTCCACGGCGAAGACGGCGGCTTCCTGCACTTCGGGATCCGTGACGTCTCGGGGGGAAAGACCCCCGGGCATGGTCGCCGGCAGCACCGAGGGCAGCAGGAGGAGGAGGCAGAGAGGGACCGGGACGGGCAGCCGGGAGTGCATGATGGGGCTGGCAAGGCAGGCAGGCAGGCAGGCAGGTAAGCAGAGCGAGCAACGCCAACCGCCGCTCCGGAGCAGACGTGACGCAGCTGTGCGGGATCTTAAGCAGCGGCTGCCAGTCACCTGCCCGAGGCCCCGCCCATTCCCCAGAAGCCCCGCCCCCGCCGGCTCCTCCTTCTCCCGCCTCCGCGTGGAAGTTCAACCAATCAACCACACACACACACACACACACACACACACACTCTTAGACACCGATTCGTAAACAACCTCTAAGGTTTTGAGGGAAGCCTGTTTATTTTTTAAAACTTGAGTCTTCCTGCCATTCATTGATCGATTTTAAACATCGATGTACATATAGAATCTATATTTCGGACCCCGGCATCCCACGCAAAGGAGAACGGCATCGCCTCTGGGGTAGGAGCAAAAGTCCTTCCTAAGCAGTGTTAGAAGTAAGTCTTCATCCTGGTTCATCCAAGCCGGGAATAAATAAGCAAACATGGCGACTGCTTTGGGAAGAAGGTTACAGTTTATTGCAGAAGACAGATAAGCAGCAGAGGAGAAGAAAAGAGAGGGAGCACATGGGCAGAAGGTCTTTTTATACCCCCTCCCAGCCCTGCTTGGAATAGTTTCCTGTTCCTGTGGCATGAACTTTGAGGCTATTTCTGAGTGTTTTTCTAGGCCTCGATATCTGTGGTTTAATCCCATTATCATATCCTGCTTCCCAGGTGATGGAGACACAGCACTGGCTAGGTCAGGGGTAGGCAACCTTGGCTCTTTTATGACTCGTGGACTTCAACTCCCAGAATTCCTGAGCCAGCCAAGCTGGCTCAGGAATTCTGGGAGTTCAAGTCCACGAGTCATAAAAGAGCCAAGGTTGCCTACCCCTGGGCTAGGTTTTACGGGCTACCAAAAATTCATAAGAAAGACATTCCCCTCCGCCCCATTGCCTCTTTTATAGGCACCCCCATTGCAGGACTGGCGAAATGGCTTAGTGAACGCATTTGCCACCTGACGAATGACAGCCCCACTACAGTCAAATCAGCAGAAGATTTCCTGAGTAAAATCAAGACACTCGGGGTAGAAGCTGATGAAGTGATGGTATCATTTGATGTCACCTCACTCTTCACCTCCATCCCTCAGGACTTAGCCATCTCTATCCTAAGGGATCAATTGACAAGTAAAAAGGGGGGTCATTTCCAAGACTCCCTACAAACAGAAGATCTTATGAAACTGATAAAGATATGCCTTACAACATACTTTATGTTTCAGGGTGTCATTTATGAACAGATTAAAGGCACACCCATGGGTTCCCCCATTTCCAGCATTATAGCTGAGGCAGTACTCCAACAACTAGAAGATAAAGCTATGACCCTATACCAACCCAAGTTTTGGGTTCGGTATGTAGATGACACGTTTGCGGTTATCAAAAGACAACATGTACCTGATTTTGTGGAAATACTGAACTCAGTTTACCCTGATATAAAATTCACAGTGGAGGAGGAAAAACAAGGTTTTTTAGCCTTTTTGGATGTACTAATCCACCGCCAACCAGATGGATCATTACACACCAAAGTTTACCGTAAACCCACCCATACGGACAGGATCCTCCACTACAGGAGCAACCATCCAGTGGCCCACAAGATCAGCTGCATTAAAACATTATTCAAACGCATAGACTCCCACTGCAATACGTTCAAGTCCCAAACGGAGGAGAAGAAACATTTATTTCAGATCTGCTTACAAAATGGATAGCCCATGAAATTTATAAAAC